CAATTAGTCGGGGGTTACAGGATCATACGTATCTTTGCAGCCCCATCCAGATGATGAATCTATGGCAGGTAATAAACAACGCCAGGTTTGTGGCAAGAGGAAGGTGACAGCAAACCAAGAAGCTAGTGCCGGGGTAATTCTCTATCTCTTTCGTGTCCAGCTGAAAGCCAAGAGGCAGGAATCTTCTAATAATAATATCATCCCCCCCCCCCCAAAAAAATAAGGGCATTCTCTTCCAGCCTACAAAATGCTTCCCTCATTTGAAGAGGAAATAACCAGTTGCAAGAAGATTTTTGTCCTACCCTGGGCACTGTCATTGTCTAAAACCTTGAGTATCAGCTTGGGCCACATAAATAAGTAAGATTAAATTAAAGAAATGGACCCTCTCAATGCACTGCATCAGACTCTGGATCCAGCAAGCAAACATCTATTCAATAAAGAGTTTATTAATAGTGAGCTTTCAACATGTCATTGCTGGCAAGACCCGCAGGACCCAAGAAAGAGGACGGGGCCAGAAGAAAGTGTGCGCGTCCCCATGAACACATTACCCACGGTTTCCAAATTGGAAAACAGTAATCACACCAATGGGAGAAGCTGCATTTCAGATACAAAGGTGGAAGTGGTAATAATTTATAATGGCTTCAGCTAACCATGTACAATGGGAAAATGACAAATGTGTCGTTTAGAATGTGCTGGACTAAACACAGTGATTTATGTTAACATGGACAGATTTTTTGTGGGTTATTATGCAGAGAAAGGGAGGGTGTGATGACTCTAATTAAATGAAAGGGCCGGCCGCTGTTTGTATCTTCTGGAACGTTTCAAATTCTAATATGCCCCTTGGAGGTACTCCGGGTGGGGGGATGCTGAGATGGTAATGAAGCCATTTCATTTTTATCTAGATGAAACACAAACATCCACACACACATCCCGGCAGCACCCGGCTACCCCGTGTCCTGCTACCCGCAGAATTAGGGACTCGGAGGGCAAGCCGGAAAGTGAACGTGGTTTTGAGAGCTCCCAGGGCAATGCTGTACACGCCACAATCCTATGGTCATCTTCTCATTTACTCTGGAACAACACCGGGGTTGGTGTTCTTGGGTCAAGGGAGAGCAGGCAAGTTCTCATCAGTACAGTGTGTAACCCGTCAATTTCCTGAATTAGTAGGAGGCTACACAAGAGTGCCAAGATTCTCATCTCCCAATCCTTAGCCAACTTTCTTAACTCTGCCTTAAATGAAATCAATTCCAAAAGAACAAGAAAACACCGGATTAGACATTCTAAACGCCTTCTGTGTAGCACATACTGAGCAAATCGCAGATTGTCTGAGCCCGGAAGGGACCCTGGGCAGCCACTGGCCCATCCACCCTAGGACATAGAGAGGGTCAGTGACTGGCCCCATGGTCACAAAGCAAGCATGTGGCAGAGCCCAGTGCAGCAGCCCTGGTCTGTGGGCCCCTTGGCTAATTTACCAACGCTTTTTGGCTGAAAACCTCTGAAAGGTCTACTTTTTTATTATTATTAGTTTGGCTCCTGTTCATTCAAGATAGATTTTTCAAAAATCAAACATTTCAACATAATTGCAAATAGTAAATGGCTTGCCTTATCTGGACCTGTCACTGATGATTTAGCAAATAGGCTTCAAGAGAGGAATGGGAGCCCCCTGGACAGAGGAACAGAATCCTTGCTGAAACACTCTGAGCAACAATGGATACTTGATTTGTGAGAGAGAGAAGTGGAAAAAACTTTGTATGTTCAATCTCTCCTCTGTTCCCTGGGAGGAGGTGACCCTCTCTGATTCATGAACTCTTAAGTAACTTGATTCCTAAAATTTAATCTTCTTTTTATTATACACACACACAACACACACACAGTATCTCTCCTTCAGGATGCTCAGAGGATCTTTTCCCCCTCTTTCTACCTGCAGGAGAAAAATAAAGGTTTTAAGATTGAAAACACATCTCAAGAGCCAAAACACAGAAACAACCTAAGTGTATATTGACAGATGAACAGAAAAAAGTATACACACACACACACACACACACACAGAGGAATATTATTCGGCCACAAAAAAAAGAAGGCAATTCTGCCCTTTGTGACAACATGGATCAACCTGGAGGACATTATACTAAGTGAAATAAGCCAGACCCATAAAAACAAATGTTGGATGATCTCACTTATATGTGGAATCTAAAATAGTCTAATTCACAGAAGCAAAGAGCTGAACAGTGGTTGCCAGAGGCTGGGGCGGGGAAGGAAACAGGAAAATATTGGTCAAAGGGTACAGACTTCCAGTTATAAAATGAATAATTGATAATTCTATATTGTATGCTTGAAATTTGCTAAAAGAGTACATCCTAAATGTTCTTACCACAAAAATAAAATAACTCTGTGAGGTGATGGATAATTAGCTTGATTGTGGTAATCCTCTTACCATGTATCACAAATCATCACATTGTACACCTTAATTATATACAATTTTCATTTGCCAGTTCTACTTCCAGAAAGCTGGGGGAGGAAATAACAAATGAATAAATGAACAAATAAAATAACATTGAAGGAGAAATAAAACAGGTCTTGTACTAAATGCAGTGCGGTATATGGTACAGAAAATGCAGAAAAACTGGTGATATTTGACTAAAGCCTGAAGTTCAGTTAAAAGGAATGTACCTACACCATAAAAATCCCTGACACGGTGCCTTCCGGCACTGAAGCTCATAAAGAGGGGCTGAAAGTGGAGAAAAATCCTGGTTTCGGGCAGTTTGTAACTAGTGGAGAAGCTGGGGCCTCTTTTGGCTCTCAGTTCGGGGACTTAATGCCCTTAATTTTGTGGAGATGTGTCAATAGACCCCAGGGGTTCTTCTAAAGTGTCCTGAAACCGCCTGCCCATCCTGCAACCACAGAGCCAGGTTCCGCCTCCTCCGTTTTAAATTCCACCCACACGGAAAGTCTGGTCCCCTTTCCCCCTGGAGTTAAGGTGACACAAAGCCGTATTCATTTTGCCTGTTGCTTCTGAAGGTTCCAAAGGGGTGTGTCCCGGGCCGGTTGTGTCTGGCGTTGGCCAGAAAAGGGGCACCCCAAGGCAGGAGCTCATTTGGCCTTAGCCGACCCCTCCATAGGGAAAGTGACAGTCAGGGACCCGGGTGGCTGCTCAGCTCACAGGGCTCCCACACACATCCGAAGGCAGTTCTGCTCCTTTGGGTGCTCAAAAACCACACCACGGAGAGTTTAGGTTTTACTAGATGAGCTAAGGCCCACCCCAAGTCACAGAGTAACGGGACTGAGGCGTAAGTCAGGAAGGGTGCAGACACGACATGCAGAGCGACTCCCATGAAATACAGGAGGGCCGAGCCGAAGCTCAGAGCCAGGCAGCTCCAGCCTCTGGACATGCCTGACACTGGGATGCAGACCGACAGGAGGGCCTGTGCTTTTAATGTCCAGGTTACCGGAGGCCTTTCCAAAGTCTGTCACCTTGTGATGACAGAATTACACAAGTCTTTTAAAATTGCCACTAAAATTGAATCCACAATTATAATCGACCATTTGGATCAAGTATCTTTTCAGTATAAATTTATCATCTGGGAACTCCAGACCTTTTAGGGCCAAAGGCTAATGGGCTATTTCTTTATAAATATATGGAATGTCAGAGAAGGGGGAAAGACTGATGTGGGGGGAGGAGACAGAGAGGAGGGCAGGTGCATGGAAATCCAGAACCATTGTCTGCTACACCCCCCTCCAACAATATAAACCCATCGGGCTTTTCCCAGAAACAGCAGAGAAGTGTCTGAAATCCTCAAGGGGCAGGGGGTAGAAGAGTTGGCAACCAAACAAGGAAAGCGAGAGTCAGGGAGGAGATGGTTGTGCCCTAAGTGAACAGTCAGGAAATGGGCTCAATACACACCTGACCACGGGTCACTGAAGAGGACACGGAAGTAGCCCAGCAGGCCCTTAACCGGTGTTCCAATCACCTGCGCTGGGGAGGACCCAAGGCAGGGACAAAAGGTGTGGTGGTGAGAAGCTGGGTCACAGGGCACCCTAAACCTCTAGGAAGCATTCCCCTGCCCCACCCCGCCCACAAGCTGAGTAGGTCACTGTTTTTTCCTCAAACTTCTCCACTTCCTGTTCAAAGGTGGGCAAAGGTGGTGTGTGCGTGTGTGTGTGTGTGTAAACACCTTCAAGGGATTCTCGAATCCACATGTATACCAAACACTATCCATCTCAAACTCCAACTGGTTTTCAACAGCCCTAGGTGTGAGATTAGCAAACACGAAACTGCTTTAAACAGCTTGATTAAATCCCTAGGAGATTGCTGTCATGAGGTTATTTTTCTCAATTAACAGATGCAAAAAGTGCAGCTACTCTCAAGGGGGTGGAGGATTTATTTCTGACATTCAGGCAGGGGCCTCCTTTCCAACAAGGTTAGGGACACTTAGCAGGTCCAGTTGCCCCATTTTCCTAGTGGAGATCCAGAGGTTTGGAGAGGAAAAGCGTCTGGTCCCAGGATACACAGCCAGGTACATAAACAGCAGAGTCAGGTTAGAGCTTTGTGGATCACCAGAATGGCCTCCTTGGGCCACGTTGGTGCTAACAAAACTTTCTTTCAGGGTCAAAACCCGACTGAACAATGAGAATAGCAACAGCAGAAGCGAGACCACCCACTGATTACTAACCATATGCCAAGAGGGGACCTTTCCTTTTCTTTTTTTAATGCTCATAAGAATCCCTACGCCTTTTCACACTTTGTAGTCATACATTTGCCGGTGTATTTGATGTCTGTCTCCCACACGCTGCTAGCCTTTATGCAGGGTCCAAGTCTGTTTTGCCCACCACCTTATCCGCAGTGCCTGGCATCTATCTGCTAAAACAAAACTAGATGTTCCTGTTTTAAAGAAACATTTTTTAAGAAAAAGGGAGCCCAGAAAGATTAGGTAAATTTGCCTTAAGGACGCACACCGGCAGAGCTCCTGTCACTCTGTCCTGTCCCCAAACCACATCCTTACCTTGACAGCCTCAGCGTGGGTCACCCGGGCCAGGGATTTGTCGTTGACACGCAGAATCTGGTCCCCGACTCGCAGCCCTTCCTTCTCGGCCAGAGAGCCTGGCTCCACCAGCGACACATAGATGCCCACGCCATGCTCCGAGCCCCCGCGGATGCTGAAGCCCAAGCCCTCGTGGGCCTTGGCGCGCCGCAGGCTCACCAGGCGCACCTCCCCGGGCCCCGCGCCGTCGGGGCCGCCCCAGGCGGGCTGCCGGTAGGGGGTGGTGGCGGGCAGGTAGAGGCCCTCGGCCGTGTACTGGTCGAAGAGCAGCTGGTCGGAGCGCGGGATGACCAGGCGCAGCATGGGCAGCAGGCGCCGCTTGACCGGGCTGTCCAGCAGCACGCGCAGGGTGCGCACCAGGTCGAAGACGTTGCGGCGCGCGTGGTAGGCGTTCAGGCAGTGCGTGAACTGCTCCCGCTCCGCCTCGCTCAGCAGCGCCGTCAGCGCCTGGTGCAGCTGGCGCACGTTGGCCGACAGCAGCCGCAGCCCCGTGCCCCCGCCGCCGCCCGCCCCGGCCGCCAAGCCCAGCGAGCCGGTGGAGGACGAGCTCACCGACAGGCCGTCCAGCTGCGCGTTCATCTCCCCGCCGAGGCCCGGGGCGCGCGGAGGGGCAGCTGCTGCGCTCGCCGGCACTGGCGCGACAGCCGGAGTCCGGGGGGGGCGGGGGGGCGCGGAGACCGCGGCCGGAGTCTGGGGTTGGGGGGGGGCGAGGAAACAGTGGCAGAATCTCGGGGGAGGGGGGTGGATCGTGGAGACCGCCGCCGGAGTCCCGGGCGCGGGAAGACGGAGGGGTCGCGATCCTGGAGTCCGAGGGGCGCAGAGACGGCGGCTGGAGTCGGGAGGACACGGAGACGGCGGCCGGAGTCCGGGCAAAGCGGAGACGGCGACAGGGTCCTGGGGGACAAGGAGTTGGCGGCTGGAGCCCGGAGGTCGCGGAGACTGCGGCTGGAGTCCGGGGGGGAGGGGAGGGACGCGGAGAGAGCCGCTACATTCTGGACGGCACAGACACGGCGGGTGTCCGGAGTGGGGGGCGCAGCAAAGCTGACCGCCCCGTCACACCATGCCCGGGGCTCCCCCAGCCGGGCCGCCCGTTCCTCTCGGGCTGGGGGACCCCAAAGTCATAAGTTGGGGTGGGGGGCGCTCTAGTCCCAGAGCCCCCCGAACCGCAGCCGGTGGAGCCGCGCGGGCGTCCGCGAGGGGCTGCGGGGCATGTCCGGGGCTGCAGCAGTCCGGGGCCCGCCGCGCTCCTGCGCCGCCCGAGCTCAGACGGAGCCGCGCCGCCGCGAGCCGGGACTTTGCGAACTGTTGAGCTGCCCGGGGCCGATCTTCCAGCGAGTTCCGACGCCGCCGCCGCCGCCTGCCCAGACTTGGCCCCGCCCCCTGCCCCTCCCCCTCTCTCACCCCTTCCCCCCACGGGCTCTTCAGGAAATGACGTCCCGCCTCGCGCCTGGCGGTTGCCTGGAGACGGGGTGAAACAGTCCAGCCCAGGGGAAGAAAGGGGTGAAAGTGGGGGTTGGGGTGGGAGGAGCTCCGGGGGCACTGCGAGCCCCCCCTCCCCCACTTCTCCAGCCCCAAGTTGAGATGAGGTGGGCTGCAAACCTGTGCTCTTTTGGGATCGAAGCCTAAGCCTCAGGACCGCTTTGGAGCAATTAGCCGGCTAGCTAATTCACAATTATGGGGGAAAATAGCCAACTTTTTGCCTCTAAAATACCAAACGCTCCAGGCTCGGTTTTCTACCTTAAAACGTTGCGCTCCCCTCTTGCACGCCCTGACATACGAGTTCAAGTGTTTATGTGGACGATCGTTGGGCACCTACTGTGTCCAAGAGTATATACAAGCGTATACTGGTGCCTGCCTACTGGACCACACTGCCTGGTAGGCGGGGAAGCCGCTTTCAGAAATAAAAGTGTACACAACCCGCGTACACACATACACAAATGGGTGAGTGCAAAACTGGTGAAATCTGAACAAGGTGGGTGGATTGTATATCAATGTTAATGTACTGGTTGTGATCTTGTAAACACAGGGGAAAACATGGGATGTCTCTGTATTATTTCTTCCAACTTCATGTGAATCTACAATTATCTCAAAATAAAAATTTTAAAAATTTATATAAGGGATTGGGAAGAAAAGTATTCTGCGTCTTCCCATCCCAAGACGAAATGGGAAGATATTCCAAGGTGTGGCCTAGAGCCCTCCTGTCCCACCCCACTCCCCCAAATGTGATCTAAATTCAAAGGTGGCTTTCTAAGGATCACACACACACACACACACACACACACACACACACACACCTTCCAATCAATTGACTCTCCTAAATTGTTATCCAATAGAAAGCTTTATTTTCCCTAAAAACAGCGTGGAATTGCCAGTGAAAACTTATGTCCGTGGGAGAGATCGAATATCACCTAACAGAGTAGTTTGAGCTAGCCCCAGAAAGATGGAGCATCCATTTATTTATTCACTTACTTATTTGGTCACTCTTTATTCAGTGTTTTCCAAGCACCTATTCTGTATTGGGTCATGTACTGGGTGTTGGAGACAGTGGTTAAAAAAATGAAATCGAGGGGCGCCTGGGTGGCTCAGTCGTTAAGCGTCTGCCTTCGGCTCCGGTCATGATCCCAGGGTCCTGGGATCGAGCCCCGCATCGGGCTCCCTGCTTGGCGGGAAGCCTGCTTCTCCTTCTCCCACTCCCCCTGCTTATGTTCCCTCTCTCGCTCTCTCTCTCTCTGTCAAATAAATAAATAAAATCTTTTTTAAAAAAAATGAAATCGAGGGACACCTGGGTGGCTCCGTCGTGTAAGCATCTGCCTTTGGCTCAGGTCACGATCCTGGGATCAAGTCCCGTGTCGGGCTCCTTGCTTGGCGGGGAACCTGCTTTTCCCTCTGCCTGCCGTTCCCCCTGCTTGCGCGCTCTCTCTGTCTCTCTGACAAGTAAATAAATAAAATTTTAAAAAACAATGAAATCGCTGGCCTCAAGGAAGTCACTGTTTCGCAGGGGAGAAAGACCACATGAATAAATAAAGTTAAAAAGCAGTATGGTAAGTGTTGTGATGGCTGAGAGAGCCCAGGTTTAGAGGAGGGGAATATTTGAAGGACTTTATCAAAGAGGTGACACCTGAACAAGGTCTCCCTAAGGAGAATGGGCTTTCTTTTCTGGGCATTGGGTAATCACAGAAGGATTTTCAGCACTGTTAGGTCAGTGCATGCCCAAAGCTGAGGCTGGGAATCGAAGCTAAATTCCCCCTCACCCCCAATCTTCAGGTGTCTTATTCACTTCCCTAAGACAGATCTAGGTTAAATTAATACCCAATGAACGGGTATTTGACGGAGTGTTTTAAATAACCTATTAAGCTACCTTTGGACATATCTCTCACGGCCCTAAGTTTAGCAGTTAATGATGTGTATCATTCTTTCCCTTTTAACTGCCATTGAAGCCTTTGATGCAACAAGCCAAAGGTATTTAGATAAAAAAAAAAATCAATCTCCCCCACCCCCCCCAAGTATATTAATGACATATCTCAAAATGACACCAAGCAGGGCTTAATTATAGGCAGTCCAGGTTTTCTGCAAATGTATTTCATGCTCGGCTTTCACTTAGTTTGTGGTTCTAATTACAATTACTGTGATTGGCTTGATAAATGCACCTAGGAGCTAAGATTCCCCATTCCCAACACTTTATCTCGGTGCAAGGATGCTTGCGAAAAGGTATTTTGCTTCAAGCAGTAGAAACTACATCACACACACGTCTTAGTGTAGAAAGAAACACTTTCCTCCGCAAACATCAGAGACCATCTGGGATGCCATGCTATCATTTAATTTCATAGAGGCCAGTTTCGAGGTGGGGGGGGCAGACAAGTACAAGAGCATGGAAAAAGAACTCGTTGGGGCTTCTTCCATCCATCTTGCATAACCGCCTTAGTATCAGTTTGCACTGTGTACCCTCTGATGAGAGGCAGTGTGTAACTGTGCTCAAACCTCAAGAATCCTATTTCATGTCGGAAGATGTGTTTGTCCTTCAGAAATAAGCTCTTGGAAACCCAAGATGCCTGGGCTCCTGAGGGCTACACTGCCTCAGGGCTTCCAGACCTGGAAGGAAGCCCTGACTCCGGGAGCCGAGCTAGCCTTGGTTGCATACTGCCCTCTTCAGAAGAAAAGCATTATTCTCTCACATATGCTGCAGCTTCCCTTGGCTGACTTCACCAAAGTCACTTTCGGTAGTGCGTTATTGTGCCCCAACTCTGGCGAATCAATGCCCTTCTCCTATGGATGTTTCTGGAACCTTGAAGACACTGGAGCAGTTGAAACACAGAGGGAAGAGTGAATTGTATTCAAGTCCAAAGTGCTTTGTGTCAAACTGGACGTTTGGTTGTTTGTTTATGTTTTTGTTCTAATGAGGAGAGAGCATACTGAGTTGCACTCTGGACATCAGGAAAGAAACCATTATTCCAGGCCAGAACGTCCCTTTACTAGTGGAGTGCCCCATAACAAATGGCTTCCCTTCTCATCTGGAGAGTTTCTAAACCTTTCCTGTGTCCCCAAAAGGCCACGTCCTGTCCAGCAAAACAGCAAGCAGCAGCTCGTGGAATAGCATGAAGGTGTCGGTTCTTTTTTCCTCTTTTTTTATGGCAATCTTAAAAAGCCTTTTTCTGTTGCATAGTCATTTGGAACTCCTCCTCTTTCTTCTTATCCACTGGAATGTATCTGTAGAAGACAATAGAGATTAATTTAATTTAAGATGCCTTTCCTGTGGGACATAAAGAAAAATACAGCTAATGTTTATTGAGTGCCAGACGCGGTTTTGAACACTCAATCCTCCCAACTATTCTGTAAAGAGAGATACAACCACTACCATCACCATCATCATCCTGCTAAAACAGACAGAAAAATCAGGACATAGGGATGTAACTGTCCCCAAGATTGCAGAGGTAGTTAATGGAAGGGTTAGGATTTGAACCCAGGCAGTCTGGCTCCAGAGTTCTTACTCAACCACTATGATGCGCAGCCTCCCAAATGCTTGGTTCAAAGATGCTAAAAGGTCCCAGATGGGAATGGTATGAAGGCCATATTTCCTTGAAAGTTGGGCTGAAACGTCAGAGGTTAAACACAAGCCACATACTAATGATTCCCAGTTGGTAAGCTGACATTTGGTGGAGGGGAGAACGTGTGGGGGTGTGTTTAATAAGGAACACCTCATTGAGAGAGATGGGAGTAGAGAGGATTGGGATCCAGGCTGGATACGGAGAGAGAGGCTCAAAGCAATCTGATGCAAGGTGTCGTAGGGAGTATCTCCCAGCTTTGGAATTATCACATCCACTCCGGGAGGTCGCCACAATGTCAAAAACCCCACAATGTCAGTCGGGATGGTATCAGCAGAGAAAAGGGAAATGTTTACCTCTATGACTGGTAGACAATGCAGACAATATTGATGGAAGTGCAGGGAGATAAGAGAGAGGCGAGAAAAAGAGAAAGAACAAAACATCAGGAAAAGAGGATACAGGTACAGCAGCCCCCCCCCCATCCAAAAGTAGAGTGTTTTCTGATGAAAACTTTTGGAAGCTGAAATGAAGCAAAGAAAGAATTAACATTCATTGTTATGGAAAAACTTTTGAGCGTCCTCAGACGCCAAAAATAACCTTTCTCAGGCTGTTCTGATACCTTAGGACACATCTTGCTAACGGATGCACAAAGTAAGTCAAGATCCAGCACAGATGCTCACAGACACAGCTCAGAGCTATGGTGGCCTGATGCTGAGTGTGGTTTCTGGGGAAGGAGCTTGGGGGGCCACTTTCGCTGGTGGGAGGGATTGCACTGCCTTTGTGACAGCTCACTGCAACACAAACCCTGAATGCTATTTTTGCTTTTGCCTTTTTTCCCCCCTAAAAGCAAAAATCCTCTTCGAATTTCTTTGGGTTAGCAAAAACAGATACCAGCGGAGGTCTTTTGTGAAAGTGAGGTGACGTGAAGCAACCTTTTGAAAAGCGGGGGATACCTGCATTTATCTTGGCCTTGGCAAGATCTCCAAAGAGTCTGTCTCATGGTCATAAAGAATTAGGTGATATTTGTGCTAGAAGGGTGAGAGAGCTTAGAACTGATCTCCAGGTTTCAAACCCATCTCTGACATTCACTGTGTGACCTTGGGCAAGTCATGGAGGTCTTACGTGCCTCAGGGCCCTTTGCCTGTGAAATGGGGACAGTGCCATTGTCATCAGCATTATGATTGCCTGAGTTCATGGATGTGCAGTGCTTGGTAAGGACCAGGTGTTCCCACGAGGCTTGCATCCATCGTGGTTAAAGTTCTTACCACACAGGAGCCCCCCCAAGAATAGAGCCATGGG